GAATATTTTACTAAGTTCATTAAGTTCTGCAAGATACAAATGGAATGAAATTCAAAGAATATTTTTGGTAGTACTCTAAACCATTAAAGATTATTTCTTCTATCTATAAGTCTTTTAATATTTAATAAATTATGACATTTTCTGCTCATAATCCAAGTATTAGTTTTCCTGATGAATATACTACAATAACCATAATGTTTCGTCATATAACAAGAATACAGTACTCATAGATGATTCATTAGTTTATTTGATGCTTTAGTTTCTCCAAATTCAATATCGAATACAATCTTCTGGTGCTCCTGTTGCAATAACTGCACCTCTAGCATTTTTAGCTGCATTTATTGAACATTTAAATGTTGAAAGATTGAATAATAATACAAATGATTTTGAATCTTAATTGAAATAAGTGATTTGAAAATAGTTATTGATGTTGGATTAGTAACTGATGTAATTCCACAACAACTTCAACTAGTTCTTCAATTTCTATATTTTAATAAAGTGGATATACATTCATAATATCAACTGTTTTAGCACGTCTCATTTCATGTGTAACATGTTTACATGCAGATATACTCTTAGTAGCTTTATCTTCAAAAAATACCTCTTCCTGTTTCTTCAATTGTAACTGTGCAAATGCACAACGTTTATTAATATGTATGTTTAAATAATTCTTTATACATATAACTAAACATTTCAAAAAGAAACATAAAATAAGAAGTTTTGTAGGTGTTCATGAACTAAGTAGTATTTATTTTTTGATTTATAATCACTTCTGACTGTTATTCTTTCTGATTGATTCAATATAATTATTTATTCTTATTTGGTATATTTAAGAAATTTATATCTTTTAGATTTACCAAACTAACATAGTTAATGAAGAAACAAAGTAAATTCAACTGAAGTTAAGTTAATTCAAGTATTAATATTATAGAATATTCAAAATTTTGTGAAAAAAGAAAATGATTAACTAACATGAAGTTTTCAATAGTTATGGATGTAATTCTTCTTATTTAAATTAATTGGTATTAAATAGTTAGTAAGTTTTAAATTATAACAAAAGTTAAGAAACAAATAAAAGATAGAACCAGAAATATCTATTATATATTGTATGAATAATGTTTTAAATAGAAATGAAAAGAGTATTATTGATGAAAAGTCATTTAAGATGAAGGAATATATTTAATAAACAAAAATCAATTAGATGCAAATAACAAAGAAGAATAGTGATTTGGATTTTGTAAGAGATAAGTTTTAAGAAGAAGTAAATCATTAAGCATCTTTTTTGTTGTCATTACATATTCAGGAAGTATCCATAATTCAAGAATAGATCGAAAAACACTTTGAGGAGGAATTTGTTTAATATCAAGAGAAGTTGAATGTGTTACAAACCTATAAAGACATTGAACAACAAATTTAATATTTTCATTAATACATTTTATTCTATATGATTCTTCTAACATTTCTGATGGTAATAAATAACTTTTTTTTTGTTTATTAATAAACCAATATTTCATTAATGGAAATACATCGGTAATAATTACTTTATCACAATTTTCATTTATAAGAATATTATTTGAATGTAAATGATAATGAATAATTCCTTTTTGTTCAAGATAATGTAATGCTGATACCATTCCATTAATAATTTTATAAATTTGATAACTTCTTAATGATTTATTCCATATTTTATTTAAAGTATATGGCATTGAATAATCATAAATAACATATACATTTAAATTTGTTCTACAAACACCACCAATATGTGGTAAATTTGGATGATTTATCATTTTCATTGAAAAAATTTCTTTTGGTAAATTATCAATATTAAATAAATTAGATAAAGGAATTTGTTTATAAGTTACTTCACTACCAAGAAATATTGCTTTTCCAATAATACTA